CCCCGGGGGCGCGGCGGCCGGTGAGCCCCGCGGCGTGCGGGCTCAGGGGCTCCTGGGGGCCTCAGGGGGGTCGGCTGGTCAGTTGTTTCGGCTTTGCCCTTGAGTCACCCATTCTCGCAACTTTTCCCTCCTCGTTGGAGCAGGACCCGCCGCCGAACCGCGCCTGCCCCCTGCCCTCCTCCCGGCCTCCCCCTCGTCGCAGGCAGCACCCGTCTGAGAGCTTGATTTCGGTTTTTTCCTCCATAGACTACGGTAAAGACTGCCGAGAGCAACAGGAAAGAGGAACCCCCCCGGCCCCCCCTGCGTTACTTCTGCAATCCGTTCTTTTTAAGATCCAAGCTGAGGAGTCCGAGGCCCGTGGAATGGAGTTAGTGCAAGGCTGGCGTTGAAGGGCTAGTGATGAGTTAGAGGAAAACTATGATTTCATCTTTATTGGCCTTGCTATAGAAACCTACTACATTTTTCTTCTGCCTGTGTTGAATGTGGTAAGATTATACGTTGAATTAAATACTTGGAGACTGACCTAAAAGACTATTTTTAGGTTATTGGATGACGTCCAGGGACAGCTTTTCACCTGAACTGGGATCGCCTGGAGGATTCTGTTTTGGGGCCTACCTGCTGATTTTTGTGCAGCAGAGAGTCCTTTTTTCCCCCTGATAAATGAAGTGGTACCGTAATGTGTGCGGTGGAGTCAGGGAACCCATATTGCTCTCTGCAGTGTGGAAGTGAGAAATGTGAATTGTGCACAGGGGTGAAACTTTCCAGGCGCAGTCTTGCAAACTCGCTTCACGATGGCGTCCCTCATACCCTCAGAGCTCTTCCAGGTAGCCCCATTCGCTGGCTCCCCTAATTACTTTCTGAAGTGCCTGGCCCTTCTCTTTGGTGACTCCTTTAGTAAACTGTAATGGCAGGTATGCTCCGTTTGGGGGGATGAGAGTTACAGCCCCAGTCCAGAGATGAGCAGTGAACGATGGAAGCAGAATTCATACCATTGCTGGTGAGTTTGGCGATGACCAGCTCATAAACTATGTGAAAAACAAACATCCCCTTCCCATAGCTGTCAGAGGGGAAAGGAGTATTTTATCATGTCTTTATTTTGGAGGCTCTAACATGACTAGAATATGTGGGAAAATATGTCAGATTATTTTCTCTAAGGCTTTTTAATGTGTGGTCCCCCCCCCCACCACCCCATTCCTCCTTTAGAAGCTGACATTTCTGTTTGGCTGGGTTCCAGCATCAGAAGAGAGTGTTTTGGTGAAAGGGAAAGATAAGATTTCTTTGAACTTGTGTGATACTGTTGCTATTCATTTTATCCAGTGATAGTACAGAGCAACTTCCACCATAATGTTCATACCCCCATTAACATTCTGTCAGAATTAATTTTTAAGAGGCTACCCTGAGGCCCATAAAGAAATAATGCCACTTCATAACTGTTTCCTGACAATCACATTTAAAAAATGTGTTCCTGGAATGCATTATATGTGTACTCATATAAACATTTATCTTTGTACATTTATGGTAATGTAAATATTTAAGTCTGAGAGCTTAAAAACTTTTATTTGCTTATTTGCATACATGTTTTTCAACATTTAGCAGTGCCAACCATATTTGCCAAATAAGCATCAGCCATAAATTCATGCTTTGGCACATTTCATATAATAATTCTTCTAAATTGCTCCATGGTGAAGCATCATGAGATGAGCATTTGCTTCATGAGAGAGATTTGTTGTTGTTTTTAACTATAATGATGCGCTGTTTAAGTAGAACAGGTGCTGGGCTTTCGCTGTTTGTGTTGAAACCTGCCAAATCATACTCTTTTGTTGGATGGGCCATTTAAGTAATTTAGGAAGCAAACTCTGGCCCCTGGCCTGCCAAGCGTGAGTTCACGTCTCCCCGTTTCACTGGAAGAGGCAGGTGTGTGTAATGAGATAGACTTGCCTGGTGGCTGGTTTCTTCACTGGGATGTCTACCCCTCCGCCCTCCGCCCTCTGCCCTCCGCCCCATTACGGCATTACCACAGCTCTTGGTGCACTGTAGGCTTCATCATGGTTGGCTTGTTCTCATTGGAGAACTGGAAGTTCTGGTAACTTTCAGGCCAGGAAAAAGTAGTTCTCATGTGCTTGACAAATGTCTGAGTGCTTTTTACGCGTCAGGCGTGGTGGTAGGGCCTGAGTATACATAGAAAGCCCTCCATTTTTCTGCAAGGAGATTACTGTTCAGAAGGTAGCTGAAGACCAATAATTGCAATACGGGTTGATACGTGATGACAGGGTTATTATGGTTCCTATGGATAAAGCAGAGGACGGACAGTGGACTCAGACTTGGGATCTTGGTGGTAGGGGTAGGGGGTGTTCTGGAATGCATTTTAGTGGGTTACCTAAGGTAATCTCGAATAATAGGTATTAAGTTAACTAGGTTCAGAAAGAAGGTGACTAGGCCCACCCCACAGACTAGTGATTAACAAGCCAGATCCCAAATGGCCAATCCCAGATCAAATTCCAGCCTCAGTGGCTTGAGAAACATGTTGGACATGTCTGTGTGTGCCCCAGATCCTGACAGGATGGAGGAGAAGGGATTGCGGCGTGACCTTACCCCATTGGGAGGGGTGCCTTCCCTTCCCCATCTTTCTCTGGTGAATGCACACACCCCCTGGCAACTAAAGGGGAAAAAAAAAAAGAAGAAAGATGGAAAGTGCATTTTACACCAGTGATGTCCTGTAGAAACATAATTCCTTAGAATGTGGCATTTATTTTATACTTACAGAACATCCCAGTTGGACTAGCTACTCTCATGTACTCAGTAACCACACGTGGCCAGCACAGCTTCAGAACAGGGGCAGATGAACTAATCGGAAGTCTTGTGAACCAAGCTAAGGAATTTTACTTCATCCTGAAGGCGGTGAGGATTTAGTTTTTAAATTTTTTTAAACTAAGCTATGCTGTGTTAGAATCAGATTTGTATTTTAGACCTATCATTTTGGCAGTGAATGCTGGATTAGAGAGGGGCAAAACTTGAAGCAAGACCAGTTAGGAAGCTATTCCTGGTGAGAGATGATGAGGGATGGTAGAGGAGGGAGTCGGTGGAGGAGAGATTTAGTAAATATTATCAATAGGACAGGATAATCAGATTATAGAATTGAGCAAGATTAAAGATTTAGGAAGATTCCCATGTTTTCTGTCGTGAGCTGCAAGGTAGATGGGGCAAGCAGCTGAAGAAAAGCCAGCCATCTGTGCCAGACAGACCAAAGACGAAGAAAGGAAACTATGAGAGATTTGTCACGGAAGCCAAGGGAGGAGGATGTTTCAAGAACTGGGAATGGTCAGCCCTGTATACTACTGGTGAAAGGGACAAGTAAGATAAGGCTTGAATAAAACCTCCTGGATTTAGCGATTAAGATGTCTTTTGTAACTTCAGCTAGAGCAGCTAGCCACATTGTAATGACTGAGAGGGAATGAAGAGTGAATGACAAGTAGGGGTGTAAGCTAACTGAGAGAGAGAGAGTGTTTTCCACAGTGTGAGTAGAGAGAGATGCTGGGGATTTGGAGACCTTTGTTTTTTTGATTTTTGCTGTAGAGCATGTGTGCTCACCAGAGAGAGAGAGAAAGTGAGAAATCACCCCCAGGGGGGATGACCACACCACAATCCTTTTTCCATTTTCCTTTTGGGATTTTGGGCATACACATGCACCCAGTGTGAGTTTTAAGCTGCTAGGGCTAGGCCTGAAACCACGTTGACTGCATGGGAGTCCAGCAACATAACTCTTAAGCCATCTGCTGGTTCCTCCCATCCCCTTTTTTTTAAGTTAGAGTCTTGGGCATGCCTATGTGGAATTGGAAAGAATCAATATTTAGGAGTAATTGAAGAGAGGTAGTGCGTGTGAGTCTTGGTGGAGGAGTAGGTGGATAAAGACACAGATTTGGAGGTTAGAGAAGGGAATGGAATCCAGGAGAACTTGGCCTTAAGCAGGACGTAGTCTTGCTTTGTTTTCTAGTGAGCAAAAAGGCAGGAGGTCAGGATGAATGGCAGTGTGAATAAGGTAACTGACTGGTAGGAAGGAGAAGGAGTCAATGCCATGTCTTCTCTTATCTTTGATCTATCTATAAGAGGGAATGGAAGATGGTAGCATAAGAATTCTTAAAAGGAATACAGGTTTCTAACAACTTCCAAGGTAATGAAAGAGGAAGAGAGGCAGGCCCGTGACTAGGAAACTGAAGAAGGATTTATAGGCAGCATCGAGGGCCTAGTCAAGGCTGTAGACCTTGGGTTTGCAGTGGTATCAATTTGTGTGGTTTGATTTTTCTCCAGCGGTCCTCAGTCTGAGTCTATGTGAAGACACTATCTGACACTCAGAGGAACTCTACAAGGTATGTGCTGTTATAGTGACTTTGTAAGATAAGCACTCCTGGTGGTTCAGCTCTAGAACCAAAGCTGTTAGATCCTGCATTGCAGATGTCTGGTAGAGAAACATGAGGGCTGGCTGATGGGATTAACGATGTTGAGGGTTGTGGCTGTGATGAGGAACTGTGGAATCCAGGCTGGACCACGGGCAGGAAGCCTGGGAGAGGTGATCCAACTGGGAGAAAATGAAGGACGTGAAAGGCTATAGAGGTCACTCTGAGGCCGAAGAGCTAGAGAGGAGGGAGTAGTGATACCAGCTTCGGTGAATGGAGTGCCTACTATGTGCTAGACACTTCAACACTGTATTGCCACTCCTGATACTAACTCGTTATTATCCTTCTGGTCTTTCCTTTGGTATTTTCCCCCCAGATGAAGAAATTGAGAATTAGAGAAGTTAAATAATCCCTCTCCATTCTCCTCTCTGGATTTTGGGCATGCATGCACACTCACCCAGTGTGAGGTTTAAGCCACCTGATCCAGGACTCAAACTGTGGTCAACTATGTGGGAGTCCAGTGATGTAGCCATTATACTGTCTGCTGGCCCCCAAATATAGGATCTTGGTATGTCCTGGTCTTGCCTCAGCCTCCCCGCTGGGACCTACACTATACTTACCTTTCCTGGCTCTGTCACACAGGGTCTTGCTGTGATGCCAGGCTAGCCTCAAGCTCAATATTGTTCTGCACCAGCCTCCTAAGTTTTTGGGATTCCAGGTGCATGCCACTTTACCCTGCCTCTACATGTGGGTCTCCTAGGTGGTCCCAGACTGCAGAGCACAGCTGCCTTTTTTTTTTTTTTTTTTTTTTTTTTTTACGGCAAGTGCGCTCCGCAGGACAAA